ACCTGAAACAGTGCTTCTGAGAGTGTGAATGCATTACGACCGCATCATACTTACAGGCAGACACACAGAGGTAGCAGCTGTTCAGCATGGTAAACCGTGGTTAACAAGGAGATAAAAGCTTCGGTCTTTAGCGAGGGTGAACGGCTGCTTGTCATCATTTCCATCGTTAAAGTGCTTGAGATCTGCGTCCTCTCTGGAAATTTTATTGGATTTGTCCAAAGTCTCAGCAATGATTTAAGTCTCAATGAGTTCTTGAACGCTAGCTTGTTGTTGTTAGCATTTTAGCAGACAGACTCTGTGCTGCATTCAGGAGTTAATGGACATTACGTGTTCTCAAATTGGGAGTAGTTGTTCCGATGTTTATAATTATAAAGTTTGTGTGAAACATATACGGTTAATTGGTAAAATAATATTAATAATTCTTAAAATGACTGGTTGTTTTTCAGCACGGAGTTTTCTAATTATTTTTCTAGTAAGAAAGTTGTTTTTTACGACGCCAATTGAACGTTGCACGAGTCATGCTGGACAGGCAGCGGCTCGACTAAAAAGGATAAAAATAATTCATCGCCACGCTGGCAAACATGTACATATATTATCGGTTCTGTTTGTTATGATATCGGACCGATAAGTATGACATCATAATCTCCTGATATCGGGCTGATAACTATCGTGCACCCCTAAAAATTAACCATCTAAAAAATAAGTAAAATACTAGATTATAGTCTGAAACTTCTGAAGTTAAGAGAAAAAAATCTGCCATTTCAGTAAGACAATTTCTTTTGGTAAGACTTCTTGAAAATTCCAGGCTAACAAGATTAATAATCCAACACATTCTGCTCTTGTTTCACATATCAGTCTCAAAACAAGATCAAAAATACTTTGTAAGACTTGAACAATTTTTTGCAGTGCAACAGATCTGATTTGAACTGTTTATACCGTTTCCACAGAACCCCATTTAAAAAAAATCATTTTAATGTTAGACTTTTAAATTCATTATTGGTATTCTCATGGTGAACTYGTCGTCTGGTTGGAAAAAGTCACATGAGATTATTATTTTTTTTATTCTCTATTTGTCCAGACTTTCTGGCTTTAGGAACTGACAAAAAATAATGGTGACGAATAAACCCATTTCAGGCTTCAGAAAATCCGCGTTATCCACAAAATTGGAGGTACATCAGGGTGGTCTGACAAGTAGGCTTCCTGCAGCACAAACTGCCGGCTGACATCCATCAACAGCAGATGATTGTACAATTTGCTGGAGTAAATCATAGTTAATGGTGCTGGAATATAGGAGGAAAGCTTTTTTAAGTTTTCGACCCTCAGGTATTTTAAGTCAAAGAGTTGGATTTATTTTTAATTTTCTCATCTGCGTTTTCCTCTGTAGAAATGCGGACGTACCTTTGGCTGGTAATCGCCCTGATGGATGGCTGGTTTATTTATAATTAATGTTTTAATGGCACTGAAGGTTGTGTTTTCGTTTTATGTCGTCTAGATCAGTGATTCCCAAACTTTTTATTTTCTGACCCACAAAATATTCATGGCAAAACTTGTGACCCCAAATATTACTGGTCTGAGTACACAAACTTTGTTAAAAACCCTAAAAACACAGGCTTTTTGACTATTTAAACAGCTTATACACAAATATAAACACTTATTTTTACTTATTTTGTGTTTTTGTAATAATTATAGGGAAAATATTACATCAGCAATTATTTTATTACCCTTTAAATTGATTTCTGGAGATTATCCAAGGTGCTTCATGACCCATAATTGGGTCCCAAGCCCAACTTTGGGAACCAAAGTGCAGTGGTTCCCAAACTTTTCAGCTTTTGACCCACAAAATAACAGTAGCAGAGACCTGAGCCCCCAACTATTTTTGGATGATAAACATTTGTATCAGGTCAACTAAACACGGGCATAGTAAACATTTTTATACTATATTTATCCATTTTAAATACACTACACTCACTCCTTTGTAACACCTAAGGCAAAAATGTAATTAATTCAGAAAATCTTTTCAGGACCCCACCCTGATATTTCGGGACCCCACTTTGGGTCCCGACCCCAACTTTGGTAAACACTGTTCTAGATCATTTTTGACAAATCTTTCCATACAGACCGAAAATAAAGCTACCCTGTGTAGATCTACTCCTGTTAAAATGAGAAGGTCCTAAAAACGCTTAAAGTAAAAAAAACATGTTTGTTTTGTATGGATTTTTCTCTTCAAAAAATGAAAAACTTAGCTGCAATTAGAGCTCTGACTCAGTGTGTCTCTGTGCACTTACAGCATTGTTGGCCTGGCTGGCCTGTCAGTGTTGGCGTGTGTGTATTGTGTGGAGGCTCGGGTGATGAGTTCATCGTTGGCCAGGTGGTTCTCGTCAGCCCTTCCCCTCCTGGTGGCATGCTCCTCGATGTTCTCTGAGCAGAAATGATAYGTAGAAACCTGCAGCTTGTATTCCACTGTGGGTTTTCTCGGTTCGGTTGGCTCGCCTCGCTCATCGGAGGAGCAGAGAGAAATTTATGAGGAAGCGAAAGGAGATGTCAGAACCATCATTTGCACGTGTCTGGAGTAATTGTACCTAATAATAATAGTCTCCTATGTTACTGTATGACAAGATGTGACGGAGAAGTTTGAAGAAAATTAAATCACACCTCAAAAGCCTGTTGGGTACGTTTCAGTATACTATGTTAGAGTGACATATCAGCACAAAAATGAGCACTCCACACCTCAGAAAATAGGGAGAAAAGGGAGAGAAATCCATCTGAAATTTTAACTTGAATAAAAACTAGAATGACTCAGATTTTATGTGGGGGAAAAAAAAAGTGCTAAGTGTGTGGATGTTTACGTTGTGCTCGTAAAAGGGCCGATAAATCTGCTTGATCGTGCTCACAGGAAATGTCATTAAATTTGTCCAGTGAATGCTCGAAGTTCTACTCTACCCCAGACCTATTTTGAGAGAAACCAGAGAGGGTAATGAAACGGGATATCGCTTTTTTTTTATCTTTGAAAAAGGGCCAGTCATAAAGTCCAAGGCCACATTTCTTTCCCATCCCTCCCCTGCATGTGTACACACACACACGCACGCACACACGCACGCACACACACGTGATCTTACCAAATCAGTCTTGCTCAGAGTTGTACACAGCTCTTCTGTAATTTTAAGATCTCCAGTGTAAATTAAATATTATCAACTGTGAAGTGAATTGTGAGCTCTGCAGCAGTTTTGCTTCTCTTTGTTTTGCTTCGAACAGCTACTTTGAGAAGCAGAAAGCAGAGTGGCAGAAGGAGCCGCACGAGCCCGCCATCCCAGAATCCCTTGCTGCCGCTGCAGCAGCAGCACAGCAGCTTCAGGTGTCCAGGAAGCAGGATGCCCGGCAGACGGCCACCTTCAGACAGCAGCCTCCACCGATGAAGGTAACAGTCCTGTTGTTCTGAGTTAGTGCTTAAAAAAGGAATACTAAATAGCCAGTGGATTAGCAAAATCAAAAAAGATCATTTTCATTCACACTGAGATATTTTTATATTTAAGAAGCACGTCTGTTTAAMTACTCCAACATCAATATAATGAAATTTGAAGATATTAGGAAAAATGGCATGACATTAGACTTGAAATAAAAAAAAAACAAAACATTTAAACTCTACAAGGGTCCTGTGCAGTCTTGAAAGATGTAAAAGTGTAGAATTTGTTGTTAGTGGTTTAGAGGTCTCATTAAGAATGGAAGAAAACAGAGTATGAACAATCATTTRTGTTTCCAGACTTGAATTTTTAAAAAGTAAAAATCCAAATTTCTCCAACAAGCAAAGTATATTTCTCATGATGCACATAGTCATTATTTATTACATCCAAGCTYGATTTAAATGGTTTATTATCGAGTTCCTGTTGAGTCTTTAACTGTCGGGAGAAKTATAGAGTTATGTGGTTTCCATGTCTGGATAAGTTTAAAAAAATAAAGAAATTAGAATACTGGGAAACATTTGTGTTTCCAGGCTCTGATAACTAATGTATTTTCTAAAGAACAAAATTCAAAATCTCTAATGATTGCTCACTTTTTAAATTAAAGATAAACCGAATTATCATGATGTCCACTTTTAATTCTGAAAAAAAAGAAAAAAATAGGATTGCAAATCTTCCAGAAATCGAAATATATTAAAATAAGTTTGTTTTTTTTCATGGTGAATGAAACCGAGATAATAAAGCCCTACTATTTTACATTCTAATGTAAAATATGCTTGAAAATTGACTTATTTGAAAGACATAAGTCTTAAAAAGCATAAATTTTTAAAATAGAAAATGTGCAGAAACTTTGTCTCAAATATAATCTTTAACAAATAAACAATATATTTTAACAAATATTTATATCTTAAACATATTTATATGAAAGCAAATATAATTTCTGTTACTCTCATTGACAACATGTCTGCTAGAGATAAATGCAAAATAAACCTTTAAACAATTTATTTCCTAATCAAAATAATTTTTTTATTCAAGACTTAAACCCTGTGCCTCCCAGCTCACCATAGGCCACCGTTTTAGTTCGTTTAAGACCAAGTGTTGCTCTTTATATTCAATTTTTTAAGTGTTCAAAATCTTCAAAGTGTTAAACAACAAAAAGGTCAAAATACAACCATGTGAAAAATTGTCCTAATCTACATATAAACCTATAGTTTACGTCTGTGACAGAAGTGTCTTATCTATGTTCTGCTCATTAATGATATTTCTTTGAAAAAAATAAACTTTTCCAGTATTTTTACAAAGCAATGTTTGTACTTAGAAATAAAGACACAACTTCAGAATTGACATTAAAATCTGAATGAGCTGAAAGTAAAGTTGAAAAATCTGTCAAGTATTGAAAAAACAAAACTGAAAATAAACCACCAGCTGTAGCTTGGAAAGACACTTGGACATAACAAAACTAAAAACCAACAACAAAAAATGAGTTTTTGTAAAAGAGTTTTGCCAAGAAGAATTAGTTTGTGTTCAGTTTGAGGGAGTGCAGCGATGTATCTCAATATGAAGTGTTAGATTTACACCTAATGTCACAATGTTTCTCACGCTCAATAAAACTAGTTCATGTGATGTGAAGTGTTTCCTTGGTTGTTTTCCTGTTTTGGTCACGCACATTTATAGCATAATTAATTGAGATTTTGTAGCCTCACAAATGCTTTATTATATTTTGCCATCAGTTGATTTCTTCGGTACTTAACATTTGCAACCATGTATAACTTCCTAAACTACAAAGACTCAGGCGTTCCGGTCTTTTAGGCTCGACACAGCTCAGCTTCCTTTGAGTAAACCCGAACAACAAACCAGCCTAGGCAGCAGGACCTACCCTTATATGGAATTCAGCCATCTTTTATACACTCATCTGCACTGCCTGTTGTAACAAGTCTTGGGGGGAAATAAAGCAGCATACGTTTCTGTTGGCAGAAACACTGACTTGTTGTGGTTACCGGTTTTAACGGGTGTTGTTGATCTGCATATTTGTGATCACCTGCGGTCAAATTGAAACGTCTATGATTTATTGAGGGAATGCATCACTCACCGCCTTTCATTCTGGGTTTTTAAACTGTAACGGATGAACTTGTTTTGTTCAAACCTCGAAAGTAATCCCATGTGATCTTATATCTTGTGAGATGTATTAGTGTTTGAAGTATTTGTTAAGGGTGACTCTCAGCTACTACCTCACCAAATTTAAACTCAATATCTGTGAAACTGACTGAGTTAAAGCCATTTTTGTGTTGGGTAAGGTAGAGCAGCTGTGGTGGCCATCTTGAATTGGATTGGTACTAAAAGTTAACCAGTTTTAGGTCAGGGTTTCCCCCAGTGCATTATAACCCTGGCAGGCCACCAGGCCTTACTTGCCTCCATCAGGCTAAGCGTTGTTTATTTAGAACCAGGTCCAGCAAAGATTGTGACAACAGGATAAGTGGCTAGCACCTAGCATTAGCAATGTTGCAGTCTGCTACTGTGGCATTAGAAACTTCACTGCTCCACTACTTCCCCCATCCGCTATCGCCTGCCTTGGCAAGTCGTCTGGGGGAAATTGTTTACATCCAATAATTACTTTCTAAAAAAAATTAATAAAATCTGTCCAGTAGTTTATAAGATACTTTGCTAAAGCTACAGACAAAAACATCTGGTGTTAAAAAACAACATATTTAATATTGTGATTTGTGTTGCTTTTACAACCATCTATATTTTCAAGTGCAGGATTGTCATATCTTAAACTGATTTGGTTTGAGCAACATTATTGTCAAACGACGTGCTAAAGGTGTTTGACCAAGGACATGTACCCAGCATTTTATTTAGACTGTGTCAACTTGCGTCTTCTGCTCACGCACAAAATATCTTGACGTGCAGATGTAGATCTAGTGGGACGACTTCCTCCAACTGCACACAAAAATAGAAACTGAGGTTCATAGTGCAAATAAACATTTGTGTGTACTTTCAAGCAGAAACTAGCCTTTAAAAACAGACATAATAGGCCGGTTTATTTTCTGCAAGTTGACAAGTGTCTTGAGGTCTTAATGACCTGTCTGATCTGCTTTAGTCAAAACACCACAGGATTACAGTACCGCTGCACTCTGACTCGTCTTTACAGCTCTTTTAATAGCGTCTGGTTTAACAAAGAGGGCAGAGTGAGCTTGGAAACATGTGGTCCATTCTCTGCTTCACACTTTATATGTTAAACGACAATAAATGCTAATTACAGCATTTTACTTTAGTTTTTAATGGGAGCCGAATCACTGAAGGCGCATCTACTTCCTGTGGGAATTGCAAATCTTGCAACATTGATGACATTAGGGCTACATTTTAAATAATGACTTAAAGAATAAATTTCTGACATTTGAAGAGGTGAAGAGTTTTTACATTGTTTCAGTTTTGAAATTTCGTACTTGTCCAGACCCAAATTTTCAAAAAAATCTCTATAATTTATGAGCCTTTTTTTACATCAACACATCCATTAATTTATAGGGATTTCCTGTTTGTCCACCAGGACAGTTTTATCCACATGCTTTTCATTGATAAACATTAATCTGAAACAGTTTCACTGTTTTAAGGTGGAGTATTTTGCAGACCAGTAAACTTCTGACCATTTTAACTTCTGAAATTCAGCGCCCCAGTTCTCTTAGTGACCTGACACCAATAATCTAATTCAATACAAAAGGTGTTCACWCAAAACATACTCTGTTTGGAGACTCCACTCCGAAAGCATACAGAAAAAATGTTTCACAAAAACTTATATTAATAGGTAAAGCTGAGAGATAAAACTTATCTGCTTATAGGGATATTGTACTGGTAAAGCTATGGTTATCACACGCTAGAGTTGTTTAAAAAGTACAAATGACAACTAAAAACAATAAATCCTCTCTTTACAGGTCAGGGTTGTCTGATCATAAACACATCATCATGAACCACCAGTGTAGCAAAATGATAATGATCAAAAGTAGTTAAATAATGTAAAGTGCATCAGGTATTGTCTATAAGCTGGCAAAGTTGCCTAAGTTATAAAAACACATCCAATGCATGCACAGCCTTCCACATCCACAGCATCACATTCAAAAGGATCAGTTTATTGAAAGTGGATGAATTTCAAAACTGCAGAGTCCAGAAGTCACCTGAGCCACACGTCTCAGAGAGGGCAGCTTTCATACTGTACGGCTGCATTCACTAATGTTAGACACCACTTACTTTACATAAAACACTTTTATTGCTTTTTAATTAGTGCTATTGACAGCACTCGTTAATTGCAGACACAGAATAAAATTTGGCAGGAGGGAGAATAGCAACATGTCAGTTAGACAGGGCGTATCAAAAAAAYTAACCCCCTGCCCCACAACAAGCTTACAGTTTGTATCCTTGTGAAAATGTTAAATTGTGAGCCAGCCCTTAGTTTTGCAGCTCTAACTTTTCTGAGTTTTGCTGTCATAAAATACAAACTTGTTAAGGAATGAGGTTTTATATTTTGAATCTGACACAAAAGCAGGCTCCTTCCTGACTGAAAAGAAAACAAACATATTTGTTCATGAAGCGCACAGCTGTGAGGACGCGCTCAAACACAGAGCGGCAAAGATAATTATTACTGAGATAGCTGCTACATTCGAGATAAAACAAGAGCGAGAAGAGACATTTAGAAACTTGTATGCTTGCTGCTAAAACAGGCGACTAACTGCTGCATTCCTTACGAAACTCAAAGAGCAGCGTGATGTTTCCTCTGAACCTCTGTCCTCTCCAGGCTTGCCTGTCCTGCCACCAGCAGATCCATCGCAACGCTCCCATCTGTCCGTTATGCAAGGCCAAAAGCCGCTCACGCAACCCAAAAAAACCCAAGAGGAAGCCAGACGAGTAGAGCCTCCTGGCACCTTCAGCCTCAGCAGCAGCTGCTCCGACGCACTGATCTGGGGTCAGCTCGCAGACCTCCCTACACGACTGAACTCACGAGCTTTGTGCTTCGGGACGTTTTCCACCCGGCCTCCACTTAAGTAAACTGTTTTAGGGAATTGTTTTAGAGCCTGTCAACAGTTGATTATAGATATAGTKATGTCATTTTGTTGTCTGTGTTCATCAGCGCTTCGTTCAGTGTGTTTACATGTTGACTCCCACAGTAGTCTACTAGCCTCAGAACAGTGTAAATGCAATAATGCAAGAAGTGAACTTGTCTAAATAACGTTGCTCCTCTTTGTTTCTTGCCTCTGATGTGTTTTTGTGCTCTTTGTTTCCTGCAGTGCATGCCTTCTGTCATGGCTGTTGTGTGTTTTATTGCCAATATAAAGTGGACTGGTTTTAATAGCTGAGTTAACTACAGCGTTGTTTTATTTTTACAGTGCTCAAAGTGACCACCAACACTGGGAACAGGGCCAGGCGCGTTTGCTTTGAACATTGTTCTTTAACTTTAACACAGGCAGGAGAAAATAAATTGATGTTTTTTTTTCTACGAACCTTGTTAGTTTGTCTGTTTTGGGCTCAAAACAATTTCTAGACACGGACGTCTCTGTAATTTGGTGAATGCGCAGCCTTAGCTCGTAGGCATCACGGTACCTTTCACTCTATTAATGCTGTCATATACTGTCATGGCTGCAGCTGTCGGTCTGAAAAAGGACAGCGAGGATTTGTTAAATGAGTTCCTGTAGTGTTTATGTCAGGGTAACCCCTCATTTCATCTGTTGCCAGGGCAACTCCACGTTCCTTAGTGGTTGCTACGGCAACCCCAGGTTGCTGTGACCCGCATATTTTCACCAAAGAAGTTCCTCCCCAAATCCAGCGAGGGGCATCGGAAGGCTCTGGGAGATTTCTGCACCGACTCCCTCCAAAAGGAGCCTAATCCTGGAACAGAGAGGACAAACCAGACAATTAGTCTAAACACTCCAAGCGTCATAAATATTAATGTGGCCACCAGAACCGATCTGCCCTTAAAGCCCGCTCACTCAGGTTTGTGTTTTGTCTGTCCTTCGGCGCTTTTGGAGCTGCAGTTGTGTCTTCTTCCTCCAGATAAAAGTTGTCAAGGCCAGTGAAGCCCGCTCCTCCTCACACGCCCTGCAGGCGCAGGAACCTGGGAGCTCCGCCTCTGCAGCCTGTCACCAAAACAAACAGCWGGAATCAAACGCCTGCAAGGAAACCCACACACTGCCTTTAATTAAGAGTTTTAATCTGAGATCACATGCCTGTTAGACACATGATGGCCTGCTCAGAGGATGTGCTCTGAATGACTCTCAGCTACTACAAGATTTAGCTATCTGTAAATATGACTAACTCATTTCTTGTGGTGGCCATCTTGAACTGGACTGAATCCACAAGTTAATGTTTGCAGTTTTGAATGCAGTGAAAACTTGAAGCTTCATTATAATTTTTAGTGGTTCGTGAGGTTTTTTTTTAACAGCTGACTGCAAATGTCTTGTTTTAAGACAAAGTTCTTGTACAATTTGACCAGTGGTTCATGAGATATTTTGCTAACAGACACACAACTACAGGAGCAAAAATAAAATAAATAGTACAGGGGGAAACAAATGCTTCCTTACTCGTCTTAGCGTCTCCTTGAAAGTTTTGACCCTCAGCCGTGCAATGAGCTGAAGGGGGACAGGCAGGACACCGGGACCTTGACCCACATGTGGAGGACTGCTCTCTCCTGCGGTCTGAGCCGTCTCTTCAGCCTCCTCAGTCCTCCCTCCAGGTCSCATTCGCTGATTGAGTCTCTTCTGGCTCTTCTCTGAGGTCTGAACGGACCCGTGTTTGTTTCTGACACGAAAAATCATGGCGCTACAATATTTCTGAACAKCTTCTTCTTCGTTCATTTTTGTAACAATTTAATCTAGATTGAAAACAGGGCAAAGTCACGACGATAACATTAATTTTTTTCAGCGCTAACGTTAAGATATTACCGGTGTAAATAAAACAGTGGCATTTAATCGTTTTAAAATACAACACAACGTAAACAAGCTCAGTATTATTTCATTGAGAAAATGGCTTTTCTCCTTTTGTTTACATCCGCTGCACTTCCTGCCACTCGTGCGCCTCTACCGCCATCTGGTGGTTGGCAAGAGAAAGTGAAGGGAAGCAATCAGCTCTCGAGTTGACTCACGTCTGCAGCACGTGATTTGTGCACATGTATTTAACTATTTTTATGCTTAGGATATTACCTACTTTTATAGTTTAAATAAATTAATTTAACACTAATAATTTAATGGTTTAATTTAAGCTAATATATCCGTAGGACAAGCGGCTAAATGCAGTGTTGTTAGCTGCAAAAGAAAGGAAAAAACAAAAATAAAAGAGTATTATTGTTATTGCTATTATGAATATAAACTGTAAGAGTTTTCTTTTTACTTTATAAAATGTAAGTTTACATTTTGCACATCTGTGCTAGAGGGAGCTATTTGACTGCAGATGGTTTCTATTTGCAGATTAAGAAAATGTTAATACTTTAAAATGAAACATATATAGGCTTCATTGAAGATCATGTAGAAGTGCCTGGTATGACTGATACAAGATTTGATGATTAAAAAGAACCTTCTAGGTTTGAATGTAAAATAATAATAATAACAACAACAACAACTTGTAAATGGTAAAAAATATCAATCCATCCACTCATTCTTTATCTTCTGCTGGTTCTGGAGTTGGGTCGTGAGGGGCAGCAGCTTGAGCAGGGAGGTCCAGAAATCACTTTCCACAGCCACCTCTTCCAGGTCTTCTGAGAGGACTTCAAGGTGTTCCCGGACCTTGACTGATCTCAGTTATGACCCCCCACAATAATATGAATGAATGAATGAATGTCCTGATGCATCTCAGTAATACAGGTATAAAAAATCAAAAAGAAAAAATAAGTAAGTCTTTTGAATGGATTCTTCTTTAGTTTGAGAGAGGAGTAAAGGTAGCCATCTTTGTGAAGAAAAACTGTCCACCATTAAACAGAGGTGGAGGACTTCGTGTCCAGTTGTCCTCCAGTTATTGCACGTATGACTCAGCCCCCTGTGAGCAAAAGATGTGAATCAGGGCCCCAATGATACCAACACAAAGAGGGAAAGAGGGACAAAACCAAGGGGACATTGAACCCCCACTTGCATTCACTACATACACATAACACGACACGGGTCAGGTGATGGGGCACATGACCCTCTATGAACAATAGAACCAATCAAGCTTTATTGTTAGGCGATGACCCTCTTTTGCATGTGACTAACCTGTTTGTCCATGTGGAGGCAGTGCTTACAAGGCTGAGTTCACCTGAAACTCATCAGACTGAGGAAGTCTCTTGGAGGAGAGACGAAACATTTCACCAAAGAACCCATCCAGTGGACCTACTTATTTTTTCTTTTTGAATGAATGAATGAATGAATGAATGAATGAATGAATTTAGTAGGAAAATGTGCAATTAAAGCATAAACATAAAAACATTTGATGGATTGCACCAGATTTAGCCTAAGGATAATTTACATCTGTAGTCCTCCAGATAATAAAAACAAAACAACATTCAACAGTAATAAAAATAAGCAAAACAAATAACAGAAAAATAAAACTATAAAATTAAACATTTTGCAATTAATAATAAAAATATATAAACACTAGGGATGTCCCGATCAGACACTCAATATCAGTATTGATGGCAGATATGGCCATTTTTTGAAAATCGGGTAGAATCGGATTTAGTCATGATCGGGCCGATCCAGTTTTCAGCATCATCATGCTTTACAACTGTCGTTAAGAAGTCAAGACACACACAAGTATGCAACCATGTCCACAGTCTGGGAACACTTTTCAATGGAAAACCATGATGCTGAAACTGCATCTTGCAAAATCTGCAAACTGGATGTTTCTCGTGGTGGGAACAGCAGGACTTGCTTTAATACTACCAACCTTGTCACTTGGAAAGAAATAAAGACATCGGATCGGTATCGGAAAGACTAATCATTAAAAAAATCGGTTTGTATTTGGAGCCAAAAAATCTGGATCGGGACGTCCCTAATGAACACCCCACCCCACTCCCTAAACATAATTAAAAAGTTATATCACTGAACATCCAATAAAAAAATTGTGATTGCAGTATAAAGTAGATTAGAGATATACTGCATGATCACCCCAGAAACCATATGAGTCGATATTTAACCCCACACACCACCCTTCCAAATTAAATGACATCATTTGCGCTAAAACAATAGAAATGAACTAAATACACAGCTGCAATGCTCTTGTTGTCTTTAGGTAACTTTGACCTGATTTTAAAATTTACGATGTCATGTACGTTTAAGCATAATTAAATGACACACAGGGTTTTAGACTGCTCTTGTCACATTATGGCTGTATTTGTTGAATCATGTAGTGCACCAGGTACATACACTCTTGGAAAATTGAGAAATTTAGGTATGTTGTATAATACATCCTATAATTGTAATATTTGTTACTGTTGGAAAAAAATGGTGGTGGTGGTGGTGGGGAGTGTAAGCCTTTTCTTAATTGCTGATCTGATGTGGAACAGAAAAGGTGCAGAGTAAATACAAATAAAACAGGAAAGTAAATCACAGTAGAATCATTATGATGTATTTTAACTCCAAAATATCCTGAATCATTCTACGAAACTAAATGATCTGTACTTATACAGCACCTTCTTATCCAACCAGGGTATTCAAAGTGCTTTTACAGTAAAATCTGTGCCTTCATTTACCCATTCACACACACATTCAGCACTTTACTAGATCTCTACAAATCTAATACATACAGTATAATACAATCTGTAGAGACTCATCAGTGCTTTAAATCACAATCATACATTGATCACATCAGAGGCAGTGGGGGTTTGGTTTCTTGCCCAGGGACACTTCAGCATGCGACTGAATAGTGGGGAATTGAACWGCCAACTCTTGCATTAGAGCAGGGGTGTCAAACTCATTTTCACCGAGGGCCACATGATTGTTATGGTGGCCCTCAAAGGGCCACTTGTGATGAACTTTGATGTTTCATGTTTAACTTTGACTAAACAGAGTTTTAACACATCCTCTTATAAACACTAAGAACTACTGTAAGTGTACGGCTGACTAAATCTGTAAGAAATACAGTTATATTATTAAAAGTAAAACACATAAAGTTTTACTCGCTGATAAGTTTCTAGTGAGTGGCTGCATTTATGGCAGATTTAATTTATGTTTGATGGTGACTTTAAAGCAGCTTATTTTCAAACATTAGTACTGTGCTATCC